TTCACCTCCGTGCTGCCCTGGGCACATGGCTGCAGCCGGGCCTCCATGGAGCTCAGCGAGCAGGAGCTGCAGGAGCTGCGGGCTGTGATGGCGGCAAAGCCAGACCTAGTCATCACACACCCAGCACTGGACAGCCACCCCACGACGCCCAAGGAATTCAGCAGTGTCCTCTGAGGCCCTGGAGGCCAGAGCAAAATGGAGACCCCTAGCTAGAACTCCACAGAGCAGAGCTCCCCGATCTGAGTGGGATGACACTGCTCTTAGCCTCAGGGCAGCTTCTGAGCTGAGAGGCCCTGCACAGACTAGCGGGAGACCCAGGCAGACGTGGCCCTTGCCTGGTCCTGGATAGACCTGAGACACGCCCAGCCCCACGCCCTGGGAGGAGTCTTCCTTCCCAGCCCCCCACTGCCCCACCCCCTCACCCCTCGGGACCCACCAGCTACCCCACCACCACCGCAGATGCCCCTGACAACAATACCGATTACTAATTTTGTGTGTCAGCCCCATCTGCAGTGCAGCCTGCAGCCCCCCACCACTCTGCCCTGCAGCAGGTCACTGTCCCTCGCAAGAATTGGCTCTTGGCCTTAGAAGTGAGGCCACCCCTAGACTGTGTAGCCTGAGTCCAGAAGTATCCACTTGCTGTCTGAGATCTCTGGAAAGGGAAAATGCGGGAGGGGAACACAGAGCTCCGGATGGGAGCTGTGGCGGGTAGGCAGCCCTGGGCACCGATAATAAATTCTCTCTGCGTTCATTTACGCTGGTGTCTGTTCCCCTCGGCCAGCATCCTAACGCATGCTCACGGTCCTCTCGCCAGCCCACCTTTAAAGGGCAGGTAGGGGGCCCCAGTTCAACACGGACGAAGTTGAGGCTCAGGGGAGCTCTGAGGTGCAGCTTGGGCCTGATGGAAACCCCACAGCAGACATCCCCTGTCTTCGAGGCTTCCGTGCCCTGCTCCGCTGGGCTGGGGGTGGCCGGCTCCTGAGACCCCAGCCTGCATGGAGTACGGGGCCTCGTAGTCAGAGCCTCCACTTCCCGGCGGAAATTTCCTTCCTAATCCACTAAGTCCACTCCGTCCTTCCTGCCCTGCCAGAGCTGGCATCCTAGGCAGGAAGAGAGGCAAGAAAGACCTACGTGGAATAAGCACGCACCGTGGTAAATGCACTCGTGGTACACGGTACAGGAAGTGCACGTGACACATAAACACACACCACAAATACACGTGTGGTACACGGCACAGGAAATACATGCATGTGGCACCTCATGCACTGTGGTAGGTCTGCCCTGATACATGGCACATACATGCTCAAGGAGCGTCTGTCGTCTACGGTACCTGGTGCCTGTAACACGGTGCCGGGAATGTGTGTGTGACACCTACCAGCGGGGCGGCGGGGCGGTAGGGATGGTGTTACCGTGAGCGTGAGCAGAAGTGCAGTCTATGAGAGCTGGGGCGAGAGTGCCCGGGTGAGGCGTGTGTGTGTGTGTGTGTGTGTGTGTGTGTGTGTAGGGGGTACCAGGGGCCAGTCTGAGCAGGTTCGCAGGTTCACGCCTGTGGCAGGGAGGGTCTTCTCTTCATGGTCTCCGTTGTAAGGAGAAGGTAAGGGTACAGTCAGCCAGCTCAGTCCGGATCGGGGGTCTGATCAGATGGGGGACTGCTAGAGTTTCCATGTGATGCAGGGAGAGGGGTCTGGGATGTCTGTTGCCCTGCTGTAAAAGCTTATCTTGGAGGCCACCAGGTAGAGTGGGGTGAAGGCGTGGGACCCCACTCTGCAGCACGTGTGTGCCCAGAACCCCAAGGGGAGACTGGAGAAGAGATTTACAGAGCCATCCCCTGAGCGGTGGTTCTCACTTTCTCCTCCTCCTCGTTCTCCTCTCTCCCCTCTCTTTCTCCCTCTCCTTCCTTCTGTCTCTCTCTCCTCACTCCTCTCTCCCCCAGCACACACGCCCCATAGCAAACATCTTAAAAAGAAAGGGAAAGGAAAGGAAGTCTTGGACTTTATCCTGGGTTCTTTCATTAACCTGAGCAAGGTTACTTATTTCCTGAGGTAAGGCTCATCGTGGGTCCTCTTGGTTAGCCCTGGGTTTGTGTATTTTGTTTTAAGAATTACTTTTTAAATATTTTTATTTAACTTTATTTATTCACTTACTTATTTATTTTACTTTGACCAGAGAGAGATAGAGTGAGAGAGAGAGAAAGGGAAAAAGCCTCCAGTTCCGGACCTCGACCCCTCGGCCATGTGGGAGTCCAGCACCCTTAACTTCCACACCATGCCAGCTGCAGCCACTTGTGTACTTTCTTGTGAACACCCATACGAGACAATTCCGTAGAGGATTTGATAAAAGCTTGTTCTCAGGGCACACTGACAGACTGGGAGATGTACTCATGGGAGCTCATCCTCACCATGCAGCTGCGGGCTGCCCCCCAGCAGTGAGCTGAGACCTCCCTGGCCTCCAGCTGCAGCCCCTCGCTGCTGCTGCTGCTGCTGCTCCAGTTCCTGTAACCTAAGGAGCTGACTGGTCAGCAGGTGGCATGGTGATTAAGGTGCTGGACGCCCCCATACTGGACCGCAGTTTAAGTCCCAGACCTGACGGCTTGCTTTCTCACTTTTGTTCTGTCTCTGGTCAAATTTTAAAATAATAATAATAGGGGTCAGAAGATAGAGTGGTGGTTAAGGCACTGGACTCCCATGTGACTGACAGCAGTTCAAGTCCAGACCCAACGACTTGAAACTCACACCGAGCACATATGCGTGTGCCCAAAATCCCAAGAGGAGAATGGAGAAGGGATTGTGGAAAGGCCATCCCCCTGGGGGACGATTTCTCACTTTTTCTCTATCTCTCTCTCTCTCTCTGTCTCTCCAACAAGCACATGTACCCTATAGCACATGCCCTATGTTTAAAAAATAATAATAATAATAAGTTAAATTAAATTGGGACCAGCAGTTAGCATAATGGCTATGTCTATGGATTCCCACGTAGTCGACTGCAGTTTGAGTCCCAGACCCGGTGGCTTAAACTCTTGCCGGGCGCGTGAGCGTGCATGCCCAAGATCCCAAGAGGAGAATGGAGGAGAAGGGGTTGCGGCGTGGCCACCCCCCTGGGGTGTGATTTCTCGCTCTCTGTCTCTCTCTGTCTCTGTCTGTCCAGCGAGCGCACATGCCCTATAGCAGAAACCTCTCCAAAAAAAATTTTTTTTAATTAAACGAATAAGTCTAAAAAGAAAAAAAAAGGAACTGACTGAACAGAGGGCAACGAAAACCTGGGAGGACAGTTGAGTATGCAGGGCTGGGAGCCCCAGGGCTGGGGTCCATGCTGGCTCAGTTAGGGGGTCTGACTGACCCTGAGGTGAGGGACCACCGAAATGCAGT